ATCGCTTGAGCATCAGGGCTTAGACAATCTGAACTAGGGGCAGAATAAGAGAGGATCTCAGATACTTCTAGTCCTTAACATCATCCAGTTAGATGTGGTACCGCAACTGAACAGTTGGGCCTAGGGGGGCAAATAGTCCAGTCAGATGAAGAACAACACATTAACATCGTGCCCTATATTGATTTCGTGATCATATTGAGTTTCACCTTGGCATCATTTTGATCATCACTAAATTATTCATGCTCTAACACAACTACTTGAGATGCACAATGATTATTCAATTGAATCCCCTACACCAAGACTTGACTACTCATCACTCAACTCATGATAACACCATGACCTTATCTTGATGCCAGGTCCTGAATTATTCTTCATTCTTTCAAGATCTTGAAACTACAAAATCGATTGCATTTGCTTCTTGTTGATTATGATGCATTCATATCTTAACCCCAATGATCTTGATGCATATCTTGGTGTTGATGACATTCTTCACTCATCCAATACATTTCATGCATCATCTATGAAACATATCTTTATATATAACTCAAGAAATCATTAATCCATATGGATTACCTTTAATTACCCAAACCACATGCGTACAATCACTTTAAGACGACATTGTCGACCTCCATGTCCACTGGTGCCCTCTCAAAAGTAGTTGACCGTGTGGTATAAAGGAAGAGATCACTTCACCGCACTAGCCTCTAGACCTGGCAGTAGCGTCGTCACTTGTGAGGAGATTGGAGTGATGGGGCTCTTGACTAGGTGCTGGCCAGTGTCACTCCAGCGAATCGTTGATCGACCGACACAATCGTCCCTCATTAGTCATCCCAATGTAGACCATGGCTGTGTGGATCATGTAAGCAAGGGAGGAGCCACACATGGTGCCATGGTTGTTGATGTTGTTGCCCTGACAATGGAGCCTAATGGCGAGGGTGCCAACAACAAGACATATGTGGGCTCTAGATCAAAGATGTTGTGCGACCACAAACTCAGATCAAAAGTCGACGTCTACGAGGATGCACGCGCACTTGTCATGCTCGTCAGGAGGTGTAGGAGCCAGGAAACCTATTCAATGTGAGAGATAGATAGCAGTGGTGACCTTTAGCGGGTAGGGAGATGGCGAGAACATTGTCCTCCCGAAGGCCTAGCGCCATGGCGGGTGCAGTTAAATGAGAGGATCTAGGGATGCCACCATGTGTTGTGAGGAGAGTGGATAAGGTTGAGTTGGTTGGTGCCCATTTCATTTGGGTAGCTCAGACCTTCGTTTGCTCGATTGAACCAAATAGTGCGCATGTGTCTTTTGCACTAAATTATGAGCCTCACATGTTACTAGGGCTGGGCATTCGGTTTATATGGTTAATACGGTTCGGTTTATTCGGTGTTTTATAATTTCGGTTTTGAAGAAATGGAAACCGAATTAATCACACAATATTTAGAAACCGAACCATATTAACCATAATATATCGGTTCGGTTTATTCGGTTAACCGAAAAACCAAAATACGTGCACTCATCAGTATATATCACAAGAGCTAGCAACCTTAACATGTGTTATGTACGGAAGAATATATGTGATGCGTGTAAACTAAGCAACTCATGCACTAATTGATACACCAATTGCTAGTTACTTCCATAACCAAGCGCCGGGCATGCATACATACTCCTACGAGTACTAGTTAGATTGTGAGATTAGAAACTCATCTAGCGGCTGGCCTGACGTCTGCCACAACCAACAAGTATTTGCCAGAGGACGCGCCCCCGCTGCACTTTCAAAAACAAGGTATTGCATGGGGTATCGTACATATCGGTTTTTTCGGTGTATTCGGTTTTTGGACACTGGAAACCGAACAAAAACCAAACATCAAACAACCTTAAAATTTCCCACCGAACAAAAAATCGAATCACCGAATTAATAGATAAATCGGTTAATATGGTTCGGTTCGGTTTGGTTTTTCGGTTTTCGGTTCAAAAGTGCCCACCCCTACATGTTACTAAGTTTCTTTTTACAATTCTTTTGAGTCATAGGGGTTTTCCTGGCCCCAACTTTTATAAAGCAGAGGCAAACATCCACATCGTGCTTATAGCTCTCGGTACAACCAACAATAGCTGCGATGGTATTATTACAAGTTTTAACAAAACGAAACGATACACCACGCGCTTGACAGGAAGCCCAGATAGAGAAACGCACAAACATGACCAACATGAAGAACCATCTAGCAACAAACACAAACACAAGCAAGCCTAAGAGCATCTCCAGCCGCGCCCCCAACAGGCCCTCGCCAGACGTTTTTTCCGCCCCGTGCCGAAAAAAAACGGCCCAGTCGCCCCCCAGAAGCCCGTTTTCGCCGGTTCGGGCCGAAATTGGTGCCGGCGGACCCAGGCAGAACCCGGCGCCCTAGGGGGCGCCTGGGGCGCCGGCACAAGCGAAAAGGGGCGTGTGGGTCCGCCCTGTCGGCGAGTCGAGCGCCTCTTCCCGCCGTTTCTTCCCGATTTTCCCCCACTTCCCTCCCATTTGCCCCTTCCTCCTGCCATTCTCCCTCCCGTTCGCCTCCCAGCCGCCCGTCATGCCGCCGAAGAAGTACGCCGTCCCCCGCGTCGTGGCCACCGCTACCGCCTCCGTCGCCCAGCCGAAGCAGAGGAAGCCGAGGGCGCCGCCATCCAAGCCGCTGGGCATGTCGAACGCCAACTGGAGGGTGGAAGTACAGCGGCGGGAGGCCGTCAGTGCCGACCGGCGGAACAGGGCCCTCGCCAAGAAGGCCCATGACAACGCGGCGCGCGCGGCTGCGGGCGCTGCTGCCGCTGACCAGGCCGAGGGCGAGGCGGCTCGCGCGGGGATGATGAATCCCCCGGCAACCACGCACAGTACGCGCCCCTGGGGGTCGCCTGGCTACGCCGACGGGGACGCACACGGTGGGTTCAACCCCAACGTCGCCTTCCCCCATGGCCACCCGGCCCAGCGCACGCCCTCGCCCGCCTTCGCCGGCGTGCAGTACCCTCCATACAACTACTCGCCGCCTGCGTACGCGTCCTCCCCGACGCCCCCCTCTTCGCCGTTGCGCGCTGCCCTTCTCTCACCGCGGCGGCGCCGACGAGACCGAGGCCGACATGGAGGAGATCATCGCGGAAGGTTCGGCCGCGGCCACCGCGCCCCCCGGGCTCACTGCGGACGAGGCAGTGGATCTCAGCGGCGGCATGGAGGGCGAGCTCGGCTACGTCTACGGCGACGAGGAATAGGAGGATCAGGACGAGGAGGACAGGGAGGAGCCGGCGAGGGGCCGCAAGAAGAAGAAGGCGTCGGCCAGGCCAGAGCCGCACATCAAGTGGGCGTCCAAAGAGGAGGAATGCCTCGTCGAGGCATGGAAAGTCGTCTGCCTCGACCCGACCACCGGCGCGAACCAGAGCCTTGAGACGTACTGGGCGCGCATCAAGGCCGAGTTCGACGAGCGCAAGCTCGTCGACCCCTACTTCGAAGGCGTCTACATGCATCGCGGGGCGAAGGCGATGGCGAACCATTGGGGGCGTATCCAGGGGGCGTGCAACAAATGGCACGGGATCGTCGAGGAGGTCGCCGGTCGCCCGGAGAGCAGCGCTAGCATGGAGGATCAGGTATGCCACGCCGTTCTCCCGCCTCTTTTCGCCGTTCACAAGCCGACTGTATGTTCGTCCCCGTGCAGTTGTTGCGCATGTTCGGCCTGTACCGGTAGGGCAACAGCGACGCCGAGTTCAAGTACCTCCACGTCTACAAGCGCATCGACAAGTGCGACAAGTGGGCGGAAGTCCGGCGCACCATCGAGAAGGCCAAGGAGACCTACAAGCCTGACGCGCCGACTCCGGGCGCGTCAGATGGGCGACCGGACGGCAACAAAGGTGCCAAGAAGGGGAAACACGCCGACGCGGCCACAACTCGCGTGCAGGAGTCCATCCAGCACTGCCTCGCCGACGCATAGGTCCGGGCCGCCCTTCGTGAAGAGAAGACCAAGGCGCGTTGGTCGGCATTGATGTCGACCAGCGCCGTCAAGCTTGACCTACTCCGGACCAACGTCGCCGTGAAGAAGAGGAACACCGACCTGGTTTTCCTGCTGGGCGGGACGGACATGCTCCAGAGCACCGATGAGGCGGCCAAGGCATGGTACAGGGCGCATGTTGGCCTCATCCTGGACCAGCTTCCCTCGGCGATGTTGCCCACGCCGCCCACGCCCACGACGCCCGCGCACACGCCGCCGCCGCCGCCAAGCCCGACCGCTGATGATGCCGAGACTGCCCACAGCACAGAAGCCACGCCGCCAAGCACAGAGCACGAGGCCCCGTCAAGCCCGCGCACGCCGACTCCGGCGACGCCGGAAGCCGACCTTGCAGCCTGATGCGTGATTCCGTCGCGGTGTCGAGACTGCCCACTTTTTT